GGAAAAGTGGCACGAGTCCATAGTTGAACATCATCTTTGTTTGTTACGTTACTAGTTTTGAGTAAAAGTTCATTTTGTAAAATCTATTTTACCAATAAACACACTGTTTAGCAAAGATATCTTTACGACTTATTTTCATCAATTTTATGGATGGACTATTGTCGTTATCCCCCGGTACCCTTCAAATGCCTTAGACACTGAGTGGTGTATCTCTCTCTACATTACACATATAATAAATACCTGTTTAGAAAAAAGTGTGTTTCCAAATTCGTGGAAAAAAGCCCTCGTCTTACCTATACCAAAACCAATAATCCAACTAGAAGAAGCAATTTATATCCAAATCAATGTTTAGGAACTAGTATATTACCTGATAAGCAGTGTAGTTTTAGAAAACGCTATAATGCCGCTGGAGCATTATTGGGCCTAATCGACAAAATTGTTAAATCCTGGGACTATCAACAAGTGACACATTACCAAGGCATTAGATACGATAAATCACCAATTTCTTATATCTAAATGAAATATTATGGTTTCTGCAACAACTCGTTGAAATTGATAAGTTGCTTCCTCACAAATAGGTCTCAGAGAGTCGTTATTGATACAGACTCTTCGCCTGAATGTTTGATTTCCTCGGGAGTACCACAAGGCTCAGTACTGAGACCGCTTCTGTTTCTCTTGTATATATCCGATTTAAACAGATGCAATATTTAATTTTTTGCAACGATTCACAACTCATCATCATACCTCATTTCTCTAAATGATGAACATGAACCATTTAGTTCCTTTTAAAACATAAAGTTGATATGATAGGTGGACTTACTTAATATCCATGATTTTCACGTGTTCTTTTCGAATTTTTATTTTGCAACCTCGAATGTTTTTCTTTACCTGAGCTGTTCGGTGGTAGCATACTTATCGCCATTGACTAACGAATTGACCATTTTATGCAAAGATAACTTCTTCTTTCTAGTCAAAACCCGGTGAAGTAAACCCAGGCAGTCAAAGATGCGATTGACGTCGGATACAGGCACATTGACTGCGCTCACGTTTATGGTAACGAGAAAGAAGTAGGTGCCGCCATCAAGGCCAAAATCGCAGACGGAACCGTCAAAAGGGAGGACCTTTACATCACAAGCAAGCTATGGAACACCATGCACAGGCCTGACATGGTAGAACCAGCTCTTAAGACGACCTTGCAACACTTGGGACTGGAATACTTGGACCTGTATCTGATCCACTGGCCATTTGCAATGAAGGTAGTTTGATGTAACATTAGGTCTAAGCAAACTATGTCTAGGCACTTGTGAACGTCTTGTCCCGCACTGTCAGATAAATCTCACGCCGAGCGTTCAAAAGACAAAGATTGTCAATTTTTATTACAAGCTCTGATTTAACTTGATCCGTTTGTTTTTTAGTACGTGTGGGACAAACTTTGGAAGTGAAATTTGAACCAATTGATCTAAAATTGTATTTACACGTTTAGGTCGGGAGCTACAAAATGGCAATTTGTCGTTTCCACAGTAATTCCTATGATATGCATATCAAATAGAAGAGCTTGATGAGAGAAATGCAATAAACAAAGTGACGTTATTCTAAAGTTAATATGGCAGCAGCAAAATGGCAATTTTTCACAGTCACCTCTATGATATGGGTATCAAATGAAAGGGCTGGATGAGAGAAACACAATAAGCAACGACGTCATTCTAAATCCGACATGGCGAGCGCCCCAAGAAAATTCAAAGGGGTTTGGTGATGGAAACATAATAAGCCGACTGACGTCATTTTGGATCCAATATGGTGGCGGCTGTTGGACAATTTCCATAGCCACCCCCATACTATGGGTATCAAATAAAAGGGCTTGAAGAGGGAAACACAATAACCAAAGTGACGTCATTTTTAATCCAATATGGTGAGCGCCCCAAGATGGCGTTCATAATCCCCATGATACAGATATCAAATCAAAGGGCTTGATCACGGAAACATAATAAGTCGACTGAAGCTATTTTAAATCCAATATGGCGGCCGCAAAGTGACGCGTTAAATTCATTATAGTTATCCCTATACCATGAGTATCAAATAAAAGGGTTTGATGAGGGAGAAAAAAAAGAAAATAATATTTACAACTAATTCTTCCCGATTGAAAATATTTAAACCATAATGAAGCTCCATCATCTCAACGGTTCAAATAAAAACGTGCTGCGTTTAAGAGCTAGATGGAAAATGCTGTAATACGCTTTTATTTGAAAACTTTAGATGAAAGAGCTTCATTATCGCTTTTATTTTTAATAATGATAAATTTCCAAGTGAATTGAATTTCATTAACTTTTTAATGTAAATAAAATTCTTTTATCAAGCCCTAACTTGTCTTTCTAGAGACACTTTCCAGTACATCTACTTTGTTACGACTTATTTTATTTTAAAAGAAAGCGACGGGCGATATGTGAATATTTTAGAGCTCAAATTATTAAAAAAAAAAAATAAAAAATTATTCCCAATCTGATTTCAAATTTCTTTTAATAAAAATTATCCTCAAATAAATTTATTGTAACCCATTTCTACTTTATTATAAACTACAGCTTGATGTGAATAAAAAAATCTAAACATTATAATTTATTAAAATATTTAAACTACGACGATATCTAAACTAATAAATAGAGTTTGTCTAATCGTGGACTATCAATTATAGCACAGGTTCCTCTGAAAAGACTAAAATACCGCCAAACCTTTCATTTTTCAAGAACTTAATTAATACTAATTAAGCATTTTTGATAATGGGGTATCTAATCCTAGTCTAAATTCAAATTTTCAAGCTCCATTTTACAATTTAAATTTTATATAAAATTTCACCTAATAAATTTTATTATAGAAATTATTTTTAAAAACTAACTCCAACTAAAATAATAATGTATATTATTTGTATAACTGCTGGCACAAATTTTGTTAATATTAAATTCTATTCCTGAATCTAAATTTCTTTAAAATTTAATATTACTCACTGCGAACGAACTATTTTAAATATTTTTTAAATAAATTTCAATATCTAACAAAAATTTACACGTAAAAAAGAAAGCTAAAAAAACCTAATTTCAACCTAAAAAAATAAACATAAAACAAAATATTTTTTCTTTCATTATATTAAATAATATTTGATTTTACAAATCCTAAAACTTTTAATTAACAATCAATAACTAATAAATATATTTTCATTTATCAATGATTTAAAAAATTAACAGTTATTAAAAAAAATTACCAACATAACTCTCACAGGGGGTGCAATGCAGGAACAAATCATATTAATAAATCCCCGTATATTAAATACAAATTTGAACCCCCGACTCCAAATTATGTACTTCTCCCAAGCAAATAATTCTTAACGGCATCGTCTCAATCTTAAAATAAATTTACAGTAATTAAAAAAATTACTAACATAAGATGATGTTTCCCCCAAAAAATTTTATATTAACAAAATAAATTTAATTTCTAGTTATTCATTTATTCTTACAATATTTAATTATATAATAGAAATCGCAAAGAATTATAAATTCATGATTCGTTTTGTTAACATCTAAATAAAAGCTTGCTTTCAATAATGTATTTCTTTATTGATTTGCATGAAACAATAATTATTGAGCAAATATTTGAAGAAACATGAAACGATGTTTTTCTTCAGGAAGGAACTGAGGAACTTTTCCCAACCAACTCTGATGGCACTACAGCCTTCAGTGACGTAGACTACCTGGACACATGGAAGGCCATGGAGGCCGTTCAGAAGAAGGGTTTGACACATTCCATTGGCGTATCCAACTTCAACAAGAAGCAGTTGGAAAGGGTGTTGGCCAATTGTACCATTGCACCAGTCACAAACCAGGTATTGTAATCATTTAGACCAGTATTTCTCAAATTGGGCCATAACGTCCCCTTGCTCTGGTAGTAGTAATTTCTGGGACGCTAGAACATGTGTAATTGCTTTTCAAAGTTGGCAGTAGACAAAGTAAGTTTGACAATCTCTGATTTGTGACCTCAAGGGATATTTCCTCGAGATATCTGGACTTGTGAAGTTAATTATCTGTTTTGCTAAGTCGATGACGTCATGGACAGTCATGATCTGCTTCTAGTTAAGGCTGCATGTCCCTTTTTTCAACTGCCTGTTATTTTTTATTCTAAATGCTTTTCATAAAAATCTGTTTTGTGTGTATATAGATGATGATCAATTTTTTTGCTATAAAATACATTAAATTGTATGTCAGAATTTTACTTTTATTGAAAAATTGAGCGGGTAATTACTTTTATTCTTATCGCTTTTTCGCTTTGAAAAAAAAACTCATTTTGAAGCAAATTGAGTTTAAGCAAAGATTTTTTGAAGAGAGATGAGATAAAAAAGTAGTTACCCGCTCCATTGTTTCATAAACGTGAAATATTTACGTAGAATTTTAGAGCTCTACTACTATTTGTTAACAAATTAAGATTGAAAAAAATACATAATAAATGCACATGACAAAAAATAAGCCGATAACATTGATTTTCAGTCATCTCTATACACACTATGAATCAATCAGACGGAAAGAATTAGGAATACTCTTCAAGGTAGGATGTTGAAAAAAAGGGACATACAAACAAAAAAAAAACCAAGCTACTAATAATAAAACAACGTTAACCCTACAGCAAACCTTTAAGAAACTTCACCAACTTTTGATCACTCATTGTGCTGAATGAAATTTTTGGGAGATTATGTTCTGTTATGCTGAGCTGTTGTGTTGCACATTCGTAACCTACTTTGCATTATAGATCAAGATATCTAGAATTTCAGAAAAAAATTCATAGACAGGTTTTGACACAGAAACTTGTTCTTGGTGATTATGGCAATTTTATTCACTCACAAAAGATTTTACTGGGTAACTGGGTAGTGATTAATATAAAAAATCACCAAAAATGCTCAACATATTCTCAAAATTTATAATTGTCACTAATCTTTTTAGGGATAAGGTTGTAAATCCCTTTTTTGATTTTTTTCAACTACCTGTTTGCAACGGTATTCTAAATCCTTTCCATCTGATAATTTCATGGTGTGTATAGAGATGACTAAAAAACAATGATTTTATTTGTTTATTAAAAATGCCTTTTTTGTGCATTTTTCTTCAATCGGAACTTGTTAACAAATTTAAGTACAGCTCTGAAATTGTGTGCGAATAATCCTCTTTTATAAGGATGGATTACTTTTGTTCTTATCACTTTTCCTTTTCGAAAAATCTTTGATTTCCTTGAAGCCTCGTCTCGCAGCAAGTTGAGTTTTCAAGAAAAGCAAAGATTTGTCGAATAGAAGGATAAAAGTAATCACTTGTTTCATTCATCCATTGAAGTGGAATATTTACATACAATTTCAGAGCTGTATTAATATTTGTTAACAGGTTGCGATCGAAGAAAAAATCCACAATAAAATGCCCAAAAATGCATTTTATGACAAAACAAAATTAAAAAAGATGGTTTTTAGTCATCTCTATATACATTATGAAATAAACAAGTTACTTTTGCAACTTTGGCGTCCAATAAAAGAGATTCAGCAACATTTTATATATCTATACAATTTTTGTAGAATAGGGTCTGATGTTGGGAACACAGCCTGCTCTATGCGAGTGCTGCATTCAAAATACGATATATTCTTATAGTAATGTCAAGGTCGACGTATTGAACACTCATTTTTCAAGTATACTCAGCTTAAACACGTTTAAAAATTTCCTTTACGTGCTTTAGTCGGACAATACACCCAAAATACTTAACCTTGAACTGAAAATAGTGTAGGTTACATGGTTTATCATCATGATGTAAAAATATCGTAAATATAATCTAATTTGAGAATATATCGCAGGTTCGCTGTTCCGACATTACAAAAATTCCATTTAAACAGTTAAAAATTGATCGTCGAAAAATGCCTTCAAGTACGTGGCACCCATAGGACTTTTCCTGTGAATATTAGATCGGACTCAAAAATATTTACTAGCTAACTCGCCGTATGAAATAAGGTCGATTATATTAACCAGCTTCTAAATAGATTAGAGATAAAAAAATAGACAAACAAAGATAATTTCTTACTCGGTAATGAAAATATACTGTTACTATGGCAGAACTATCAGTTTGTTTACTATATTTATCTTCCGAATTTGACAAATCATTGTTGACACTGATTTAATTTAATGCAGAGATGGCAGCTGCACTCAAGTGATTTCGGCAAACATTTACTTTATGTAATCTGTACATTCATTCAGATCTTAAAAAACATGAGGCTCGGAAAAAAATGACGGATTGACTGCGAAAAAAGACGTATGTCCACGGCACGGTATATCCAGGAATTACTGGAGCCTCAACTTTTTGCATAAAAATAACATTCATCTTCCGAAATGGTTTGCGATTCATATCGGCAAGGTAAACTATTGCATTTTGCTATAAAATGCCATAGATAAATTTTGGGCGGATCTCCTTCATCAATTACACCTCGACCTGAGCTCCTGTATGAAAAAATGGATTCCAAGTATGCTGGAATAACAACTCGTCTGAAATCATTAGCAAGGCAACGAAACATCCGAACACCATTTCTCTCCTTTATTTTGCATCCAGGCACGTAACATCAACATGTCATAGAAAATCCAACGCGATCCACTTCGCCGACGGGATCGGATGCCGGCCATCGACTACCTGTGTAGTTATAGTACAGGAAGTATCTTCGCATCTGCTTGGAAAAATATTATGTTCGTTTTTTCGCACTCAAAGAAGACATCTTTTAATGAATCTCTATGTTGCCAGACTTAAAATTGCGTCCAAAATTGATTTTCTTTTTTATTAAGGTTGTGCAAAAAAACTAATCAGAATACTTTTCCCTGCAGATGCGAAGATTCTTCCTGGACTATCGCAGCAGGTGTTCGCATTCAAATGGCAGGTAGCTTGTCAGTCACCGCGGCAGAATCTGTTATTCGAAATATTGCTTCTTCTACTGGTAACTGTGTTCATTGGTCCTAATGTGCAACGGCGGCAGATCCAATAGAGCTTCTATTTCCTTCAATCACATTCTAATCTATAATTAGCTATGATACAAACATAAGCATGACGGCAACTAGAATCGCCTGGAACTATTTTCAGATTGAAGTTCACCCATACCTGAACCAGAAGAAGCTGATCGAATTCTGCAAATCCAAAAACATCATCGTGACCGCATACAGTCCATTGGGATCCCCCGACAGGCCATGGGCCAAACCTGGTGACCCACAACTGCTGGACGATCCCAAGATCAAGAGCCTCGCAGACAAATACAAGAAGACACCCGCTCAGATCGTGTTGAGGTACCAGGTGCAAAGAGGATGTATCACCATCCCCAAATCTGTTAACAGAAAGAGGATTGAGGAGAACTTCAACATTTGGGACTTCCAATTGACTCCTCAGGATATCGCTTTGATTGACACCTTTGACTGCAATGGAAGGATTTGCCCATATGACGAGTAAGTATTGTACTGAAATCTATTACAAAACTGCACCAAATAATGCATTATAATAGTGCAGTCGAACTATACAGAGCAGTAAATAAAATATTACTTATAAAGAACGTTGACAGTGTGTGAGGGTGTTCCTTAATGACGTGCTAATTTTCATAGATGTGATTCTTAAAATAATTTACCATCACATACTTATTTTAGATACTATACATAGATGTAAAATGATATATTTTATTATAAAGTTATTTATTGTGCCACCAATGGGGTTCGTGTAAACATGCGTAGATGCGGATATTGGATTTTTGTCACATTGAGGAGTGGAACATTTTAACTTACCACTATCCGTCATTTGTTTGTCTGGGCGGTCAGGAGGACCTTTGCCCATTAGTCACGGTCTAATTTACGTTAGTCGAGTCTGCCAGTCCTGGTGGCCCAGAAACCAGACAATGTCAAGAAAAAGAGAGGGGGAAAGAGAAAAAAGAGAAGATAGAGATAGGGACACCCTGTATAACCAGTACCATAATAAATTAACAAATTATGATGATGTAAATCGATTTTAATTTTATGGACTATGACAAATGTGACAGGCTATAGAAACCAATATTATTTGAACAAGTAATTTCAAGAGCCGTTAACGAAGAAAAATATTATATAGAATTATGCAGCCAATTATGCTTACTGTTGTTCAGTTCTAATAGCAGAAAAGTGCCAGACAAGATTATCAAACATTCTTGCTATATTTTTCTCTTTCATTTTGGAAATTATAACGAAAGCAGTAGTAAATGGATGGATCTTTAATAGAAGAGACAATATACATCAAAGATGCTAATACTGTTTTTTATATATTTTCAGTGCATACAAACACAAGGACCATCCATTCATCAATGATGAATACTGAACTTCTCCACGATGATCATGAATATACTGCAAGTAATAATTATTTGAACATACTGTGGTATTAACCCCAAACACTTGACTGTTTATTGTACGTGTACCAAACACCAATTCACCATTTTTTAATTAATGCTGTGCATATTCTTGTTATATCTACTTGTGACAAGTAACCCTCTAATATTTTTAAATAAATGTGTACAATAAACCGTGGACTTTTCATTTACCTACATCCTAATGCATCCATTAGCGTCCGCAGGGGAGTACCAGGCGGGCCGTGTCCCTCCTGAAAAAACTTGCTACCCCCTCTTCCAACAGTTTTGGAAACAGGACACTTTCACATAATTTGTCGATTATCGGCTCCTGAGAAAAATTCCTTTGGGCGTCCATAACATCAAGGCATATTCATGGGGGTTTTGGGGTTGGCACCTCCTCTCAGAACCAAAGTACAAATGGATGGGACTTTCTCTTTGTGCTTTGTGTATCCTGAACAAAAAGTGGTCAATACATTTGAGAGGGAGAGGGGTGGTCAGCAATCCTTTGGGAGTCCAAAAACAGTATTTTCCTATCATAGGTGCAATATAGGGAGAGGCACGGGTATTATGTAAAAAAACCTATAAAAATGTCATCTTGCGGACTAGGTAGTTTTAGTGCAAACAGTTATTACACGTTTGCTCACTAGGATCGTTATGGGCGTCCATCTATGGAGGAATAGCTCAACTAAGCGCATTGTTGGTTGCCTATGTTTTTGAAGCAGAGTAGTCTATAGTTTTCATCTCTGAGAATAAAGTCGGTTCAATAGCAAGAACGCATCTGGATGATTGTGCGTATTGGTCTGCATGAGTATAAAATCAGTGATATTCGCTGTGTTAGAAAATCATTACTGAATATGAGGCCCGTGATGTTTATCTATTTGCTGTGCCCGACGGGTTTTTATATTTTGTCCTTTCTGAAGACAATTTATGTTCAAAGTTATAAATTACGATTTCTTACGTTTTTTTTTGTTTTCAAAAACTTTGAGGAAAAATACGGGAAATCACCACCGCGTCCGCGTTGCGTGTAATTGCTGTTAGCCTGTATATGACTTGTAATTCGACAGTGTACAGTGAATATTTTATTGCTTATCTCTTCATTTTTGAAATTCAGCAAATTTGCATATGCAATTTCCAAAATGGATAAAAAAGTAGATGCGCAACTAATGACTAGCTTTAAGTCTCAAGTAAGTGTATTTTAAACACGATTCCAATGGAATTATCAGCAAAACATATATTAGCCCACAAATCCTCACTATGCATCTATGCATTGCCGTTACATCCAGTAATGCCATCTCTGAAGCAGATTTTACATCACATCAGAGTCAAACAGATAAATGAAGCCTCATAACGTTTAGACAATACTCACAACTAGAAAACGAGTTCACAATGTGTCCATCATCTAGTGCTAAGTTAACATCTTGTAGAAAAACCTACAATAATGTCACAAAAAAACAATATAATGTCAAAAAAATCGACATATTGTCACTTTTAAGATACGTAATACCCGTGGGGATTACATAACTTAAAGGTTACATTATATCGATTTGTAATGACATTAAGGCCCGTATTGTCAGTCGTCCCTACAATTGTAGGGCGCCTTTATGGCCTCCTTGATTGTCATAGTTGTCTACTTCTCCGTGTCAGCGCTCTATTTTGAGGTTATGTCACAAACATCTATTTGCAATCAAATTGTGCTTGCTTTTGAGTTTATCATGTTTTATCAGCCTGAAATTTCCTACAATTTAAAAAAAACATTTCTTTACAATAGGAGAGCGCTGACGCTGACACGGGACAAGTGTAATCTAGAAATTTTTGAAGGAGAGAAAGGAGTATGACAATCAAGGAGGCCACAAACGCGCCCTACAATTGTAGGGACGACTGACGATACGGACCTAAGTCACCTTGAACTGCTGTCACTCATGTTCACTTGTAGTAGCTGTGCGTGTTGCCTAAACGTCATTACACTTGAGCTCCAATGTGATGTAACAACTGTTTCAGATATGGCACCATTGGAGGCCATTTATAGCTCCGATGACTTAAGTTGGAAGGAAGCACTGCAGCGCACAGTGATAATCGGTGCACTAATAAGCTGTTTTGATCGTGGTTCCGTTGTTTCCTTGTCTCAAATTCGCTTATTTGGTAGATATCTATTCAAAGTTAGAAATTAGTTACGAATCAACTTTGTCATGAGGGATGCGACTTGGCCTGAATTCAAAAATGGTGAAAAAAGATAAGGTGAAGGGTATTACAGCCAACAGTTGAGAAAATAGGATACACACAAATGGTTCTAAAGTTTGTAGTGAGGTGCACCTTATGACGGTCCCTAGTGCAGAAGTTGAATATCAACAGTATTTTATATTTGGAAAACCAGAAATGACGGCCATTATTGCGCATATTTTGTCTGTCAAAGGTATTGTGACACATAGGCGCCCGTCTGTTGGCGAGTTCTCCTACTCGCCAGAACTTAATGGCCGATCTTGCTTTTACGCGAACCACGACCCGCACAAGCCGTTGGCCGGCCGTCTGTGAGGACCGTGGACAGTGGATTGCCTTCTAGATCGACGCGAAGTGACCTCCAATATTATAGATGTCGCTTTGTGGTTCACCCGGCCTTTCTCGAAGCAGCATTGGGACTATATGTTAACTCGGCGGCCGGGAGATGGAGGCAGCGAGTACTGAATACGGTAGAGTAGCAGAGCGGAGTGGAGTATAGTGCAGTCAATGGCGACATAAGCATTAGTCAGACATAAATAGTTGGTGTATTGTATTAAATGTTTCTATCAAGTTAAATAAATTAGTGCATTTCATTTTGTGGAATCCAGTTGTTTAATCCACACTCAAAAAAAAACCAGAAAATACTACAGTGTGTTTATCAAATTTGCTCACAGGTTAAAGCCGCACGTGAAAACTTTTTTCTTATATTCCTGTCGAATGTCTGAATTTTCAATTAACTGGAATACATAAGCTGACTTTCAAATAATTGCACTAACCTGACAAGCAGTGCAACCAAGCGGAAAAAACAGGATTACCATTTTATTTATATTTGGATCAAGCTAAACGTATAGGCAACCAGACCTTACGCCGACCTCCTTTATTTATCTGCTTACGAATTGATCAGGATTTGCCGGTTGTGGTGATCTTTCACCAAATATGGTGATTTGTTCGCCCTCCTGGATCTGCGCTTTTTATAAATCAAATTCAAGAGGATAACCAAATGGAAATGGTATTTACCATTTTGGGTTTGGTATTTACCAATCCGTTCAAGCGAGTGTAGTTATCAGTTTGGTTATTAAGATCCGTGACGTGACGAATCAGCTGTTATATGTCATAGTTGTCACCGCAAAATTGTGGTATTTACCCAACTCAAGAGTAGTTTATATTTCTGGTTATTATTTGAAATGTGACAAGTTAGAATTTTGCCGGGTATTGGATATTGTTATGTACTTCAGCTTCATTTTTGAGAAAAATGATACAGGCTGAATTCAGTTTTTACCATAAAGTGGAGCAACCTTATTAGTTATACTCATTATGGTTGTTGGGGGACAGTTTAAATGTAGTTCTTTAACAAAGTATCCTGTGTAGCCATATACCACAAGAATATTAAAATATGGCCATATAACGTAAACTCATTAGATGATATCCACCTGTATACGGTTTTTGCTAATTTCTTTTTTCATCATTTCTGCGGAAATCAATAAATGTTTTCTTTGACATGTGGAAAAATTTAGAGAATTGAATAAAGTTATCATAGCTACAAAGCCATGGTTCCATCATTAAAAAAAAAAATCTGAAAAAAACATTTCTCCCATGAATATTATGAAAGGTTTCTTATTTAAACTTTCCATATACAGTTGTAGACGAAAAAGCACCGATTATTAAGTGATAATAAACAACTTGCAACAAAATCGCGGTTAAAACCCAACGCGTTCAAGCGATTCGTGTAACTGACGGTCATCAACCCGTTGTGTCATCTTGAACCATATTATAAACGGCGGCAACATAAACACAGAAATTTTGGTTATTCGCTTGGATTTGATTATAATAATATAGTCCCTGAATGCGCTATTGACGTTTGAACTAACCTTCTGAAACTTACTGATGCACCGACTATGGCTAAATGTAATCTGACGTGACATTGGGAAAAACTGCCAAAAACTGCATCAATGCATTTCTGCATAACAAAATCTGGCTTGCAAACGATTACTTTCGACGATCACATCTAGTTTTGAGTTGGACCGACGCGTTATCAAAGATTATGCCACAAGCGCCCAAGATAAAATCAACAATGGTGAGGAGTTTCCTATCTTCGTGGTTAGGAACATGAAGGTAAGTTTTTTTTCGAAATATTTGACGTAGGCTTATCGGTTTTTAGAACGACAAAAAAATATGGAAACGTAATGGCATTCATTAAGGACCTTTCCAGTCACTGTTGGTGATGGTTTCTGGTAATTTGTTTCCAAACTGACACATTTAAACAATTTAAAACTCTTGACAAGGGTGATATCTAGCAGAAAGCACGTTAAAAACGTTAAAAACTAAATTCCAAATCTCGTTTCGGCAACTCTAACCCTATGCTATGTAGAACATCAAAATTAAGTTTGATCAACAAAGTTCGGCTATACAAGATGGTTATATTATATATTAGACAGCGATCACTTACGCAAGTGCGGCTTGGTGTTTTCTCGCCAAAACGCATTTGCGTAGCCTGCAGGTTTTGCAGAACAGAACCTTACGTACAATCACTAACGCTCCATGGTATGTCTCCAACGAGACACTTCACAGAGACCTTGACATTCCTTACCTAAGGCATTACATCAAACAACAAGCGCAGCTACGTTATAGTCAAGCAGAGTCGTATAACAACCCTTTGTTTTGCGAGTCAATAGACTACACAGTCGAGCCATAAGCACACAAGGCCGCGACT